CTCCCGTTTTCGAAAAGCAAACTCCCATTTTCGAAAAACAAACTCCCTTTTTCGAAACCAAACTCCCATTTTCGAAAACCAAACTCCCATTTTCGTAAAACTATCTCCCATTTTCGAAAAACAAACTCCCATTTTCGAAAAGCAAACTCCCATTTACAAAAAAAAAATACCATTTTTAAGAAGTGGATGTCCCTTTGGGGCTTCCGTATAACTGTCATTGAAACTGGGGTAGATGTCGCTGAAACGTATTTAACCCAGTCCTGTTCCCTCCTTGAAATGTTGTCAAATTGTCATCATTCCCAGAGTGATCGAGAGACTGGGGTCTAGTATAATCACCATGATGGCGGTCTCACAGTGACCTATACAGTCGAAGGCCTCGTCGCTGGTTTACAAAGGTAAGAGAGTCTATAAGAATGCCTTTTTCATGTCCAGCTAAGCTGTAGAACACAGCCTCACCTCTTTCCACCTCACTGAATACAGCAAAAGATAGTGCCTATGTTGTATAATACAGAATATACCATGGACGGTAGTTCGTGCTGGAAGGTGGACCCAAAGTCTCTGTATTTTCTCTCCTCGTTTTTTCCCCATGATTTAAGGGAATAGAACTTGCAGTTACAATAAATTAGAGCAATGCGATTGTCTTTTGAAAAAGCTATCAAATACATTGATCAAATGTTTTGAACTGTTATAGTCACTATTGGTTTTATGCCATATATGATAAAATGTAAACCATTTAATGTAATGAAAAGACATGCGGACTGCAGACTGCAGACCAGGGGTAAAATGCAGACTGCAGACTGCAGACATATCGCTTGTTATTTCCATTATCAAGTACTAACCATAACAGGCTAACCCAGGTGTTAATCAGGGTAATCAAAGTGAAAGTCTGCACTCCTGGTAGCTCGATTAGTGCTTTAGTTTGGTTAACTATTACTCAGGTTAGCCTGAATAATGCTTAGGCTAGCATGTTAATGGTAAGAAAGTGAAGCCTTGGAGCCGAATGGCTCGTAGCGGAAGGAGCTTATTTTGGTTTCTGTAGCATGAAGCGGCTAGGAGTATTTCCACTCCCCTTGGATGGGATGCTAGTCCATCGCAGGCCAGTCCCCTGCAATTTGTTAGGCTTACCCAACAATTTGCTGGTACCCATTTA